TTCCCTGGAGCCAAAGTTCAGGCCTTTGGGGTCAGGCCATTTTCACTCCCACAGTTCCTGTCCAGGTTACCAGTGGCTGGGATTTGATCCAGGTGTTTCCAGGTTCTTGGTATTTTATTCTAGAACAGAATAAAGGTACACACAGGTTGCAAAGTAGCAAGGATACTTTATTCATCCAGAAGTTTTACTGGATGGAGACCTGGAGAAGGGATGAACTGGTCAGTGTAGTTCCCATTCAGAAGGTGTCCACATACCTCTCAGTTTTAGTTATGACTCCCAGAAAGAGGCCCTCATTTAGGGTAAGAGTGGTAAGAAGAAAACCAGGCCTCTCATTGCATTTGACCAGGACAGAACAAAGACATTTTGCCTCAAACATTTCAGACATCTCTGGCATCAGGCAAGGACATTTTAGCTGTTAGCCGAGGGGGAAAAAACCTGTTCACGTTTGGGGTCTTCTGCCCTAAACTACTAGCCAGTTTCTGTCTCCTATTCATCACTATGGAGTGGCCACTACTAGGTGGCTAGCAGGTTGCTGGGTATGTTGTTCAGGGAAGGTTATGATAGAGCCCAAGCCAAATGGAGTCCCCGTCCGCTAAGATACTCTTTATGCTTGATTGCTTTGCCACCATCATACTTCCTGTTGGGAGCTTCACTCTCTAGAAACATATCCTAAGTCCTAGGGCCTTGTGGTGTTATTTCCATGAGAGCCCAACTCCAGATCAATGGGACAGAGCCGAGAGTACAGCAGTTCATCTCCACTATAAAAGAGGATCAATTAGTATTTCACAGAGGTACCATGACAACTTTATAGGAAAAAAAAAAAACAAACCTTTTCAATAACTGGTGCTGAAACAAGCAGCTACTTGCCTACAAGAGAGTGAAGATGGACCTCTGCCTGAGAACACGTGCAGAAATGAGCTCAAAGTGAGTCACAGAAGCCGAGTGTAAGAACCAAAATGTAAAAGTCTTAAATGAGATTGTGGGAGTGAATCTTCACGATCTTAAGTTAGGCAGCGTCCTTCAGAACTAACAACAAAAGCTCAAGAACAGAAGGAGCAAATCTGATATCTGTGTGTATGAGGAAATTTCCAAGAGAAAAAGTAATCCATGCTAAGAGAATACCATTCACAAATCACACATCTGAGAAGCGCTTGTTCCCCATTGGTGAAGGACTTTCTTGGCTCAATAGGAAGAAGAAAATGAGGTGATTTTTTTAAATTATTATTTTATTTTATAATTAATTTAATTTTACATATCAGCCATGAATTCCCCTGTCCTCCCTCCTCCCACCCCCCAGCCTTCCCCCGCAATCCACTGCCCATTCCCACCTCCTCCAAGGCAAGGTCTCCCCTGGGGATTCAGCTCAGCCTGGTAGATTCAGTTGAGGCAGGTCCAGTCTCCTCCTCCCTACACCAAGGCTGAGCAAAGTGTCTCAGCATAGGCCCTAGGTTCCAAGAAGCCAGCTTATGCATTAAGGACAGGTCCTGGTCCCACTGCCTGGGGGCCTCCTAAATAGTTCAAGCTAATCAACTGTCTCACTTATCCAGAGGGCTTGGTCCAGTCCCATAGGGGCTCCTCAGCCATTGGTTCATAATTCATATGTTTCCACTAGTTGGACTATTTGTCCCTGTACTTTTTCCAATCATGGTCTCAATATCTCTTGCTCATATAATCCCTCCCCTCTCTCGCCAACTGGACTCCTGGAGTTCCACCTGGGGCTTGGCCGTGGATCTCTGCATCTGCTTTCATCAGTCACTGGATGAGAGTTCTGTCATGACAGTTAGGGTGACTTTTAACTGAAAAAAAAAAGCATACAAACAGATTTTTCTCCAAAGAAGGTGTACAAATGACTACCAAGCACATGGAAAGATACTTAAAAGGGTTAGGCACTGGGCAATGCAAATTATCCACAGCGGCACTCAATTTACACATACTTGGTGTCTATAATCAAGAAAGCTGATAAATGTTGGTGAAGCTGTGAGGCACTGTCATTCTTTAAAACTGCCTGTAGGAATGTAAACTGGAATGCTCACTTTCAGAAACAGTCCAGTACTTCCTCAAGTAGAGTCAATTAAGTAGAACTACAGAGTTGCTCAGCACCCAAGGGATACGAAAACATAGCTGTACAAAGTGTCTACATGAACGTTCATGACAGCACTGTGACAGCGTTATTCATAACACCCTTAAAGTGGAAATAACTCAGTAGTTAGCAAATGCTCATCAACCAGGAAGTAAGTCAGCGAAATGTGATGGTTAGTGCGATGGCCGTTATTCAACTATAAAGGAGCGGAATGCTGACATGCTATTTAAGATTCCTCTCTGAAGATGTATTTTGCTTTAAGCAACATGTGACAGAAGCCAGTAACATTCGCATTGTATGTTTGCATGTGTCTGAAGTGTCCACAATGCAGAGGCTTGCAGAGATAGTTCAGTCTGTGAAGAACTGAGCTCACTCTCCTAAGCGTTGGGAAAAGCTGGACACTGGGATACATGCTTTTGAATTCAGTACTGAAGAGGTAGAGAAAGGAGAATCTCTTGGGCTTGCTGGCCAGCCAGTCAGGACTACTTAGTGAGCTCCAGGCCAATGAGAGACCCTGCCTCAAAAAGCAAAAGGTGGACAGTGCCTGAGATACGACACCTAGAGTTGTCCCATGGCCTTTATGTGTACACGTAAACATATATATACATATCCACGCATATTTTCGCACACAGGTGTGCATGTGTGTGCACACATATTTTATGGATGGTTGAGAAATTGAGTATAAGACTTTCACTGGGGTGATGAAAGGGCTGCACAATTGACTGTGGTTATGCTGTACAACTCAGAATTCATTTAAAAACACTGAATTGTACATATCAAATTCATAACTTATCTGATACACGAGTTATAGCTTAATGAAATGATTGTGGGGAGATATAAACATTTTTCAACTCTACAGTAGAAAGCTAAATATAAGCTGTGGTCTCTTGATTTGAAAGCCAAACATAACTGAAAATTGCATTGTCCCGGACAAAATGGGCAGCATTAAAAAGCTGCGTCATTCCGTTAGGTCTGTAATTGATCCTGCACTTATCAGAGTACTGTGTGCCGTTTTCATCCCCACCATGAAGATGTTCCTAAGAGGAGCATCGCACTAGTGACACTGGGTTATCAGTGGTCAGCACTTCTGAAGGAACATGGAAGGTGTTGGGCTGATGGAATTCTAGTGTAGGGTGTAAACACAACTCCACTGGGGCCAGGGCTGCCTGCTAGCAGTGTGAGGGGCTGGCCTACCTCTGCACCATTTCGGTGAGGGTTGTAATGAAGCAGTATTGGAACAAACTGAAGCCAGGTAAATTTACTTTATACACCACTTTGATAAAGGTAGTAATTATTTACAGGAAACTGGCAACATTTAAGATTAGGGGCATTAGCATTTTTTAAAGAATTTAAAAGGAATGAAAAGTACCCCCCCCCCAGAGTTTCTGTATATGAAACGATGGAAGTACAGAGGAATGCAGAGAGAATGATCACAGACGGGAATTTAGTAGTGAAGAACACTAGGAACACAAGAAAAATTCAGTATTCCTGCCATTAACGTGGACATTGGTGCACACTGGGTTTTCTTTTTCTGTTTTTTTTTAAAATGTATTCCTCATAGTTTATATAAGTATTTTATAGTTAAATAAAACTGTAAATGTATGAAACTGTCTTGGTGAAAATGTTTGAAACCCCCTAGCTACTTTTACATTTTTAATCACATTTTTTCCATAAAATATCTGCTGTTGGAGCAGATACTTTGAATGCTTCTTCTTCTTCTTCTTCTTCTTCTTCTTCTTCTTCTTCTTCTTCTTCTTCTTCTTCTTCTTCTTCCTCTTCTTCTTCTTCTGTTTTGTTTTCTGACTTAATATTGAGTTTGTGTGATAATTCAATTGTCCCTTATTTTAGTTATCACCAAATAGATCTTTCATACAACCGTTTCTCAGATGAGACAGTTTCAGTGGGAAGTCTTCATTCTCACTTGTTGATAAAGCTGTAGGTGTTTTAAGTAGAAACCTCTTCTACAAAGCACACACTCTATTAACACATCACTTAGGCATAAAGAATACAGAAATGGGGGAAACAGGAGATAGGCTGTTTCCAGGTTGCTGAGGTTTAATTTTGCTTTCTGGTGCCTTTGGCTCATCTTTCCTTCGTTGTTCTTAAATCTAGTGCACTATGGCAAGTCTTTGCTGAAATTGCCTTCCTGGAGTTTCAGAGTCTTGTAGCAGGATAAAAGACGTCTTCAGATGAATAACCCACTATCTGCAGAGCCTAAGCGAGCAAGTCTACGGGAAGGGAACTCAAGCTTTAAGGGATGCACTGACATAGTTTTCCTTTTCTCTTCATTTACTTTCCTCAAAAGTCTTGGCTTTTCTACATGGATTTGAGTTTCGGTATTATATTTAATGATTAATTAATACTCTGTTTTATATACTTTCATTTCCTAGAGCTGTAGCCATGAAAAATTCAGGTCACTGGGTTTTGCCATCCCCTGTTTCTGGGCTAAGACCATTACCTGTGTTTGTTTTGCTCCTTTCATTAAAAACATCATGACCGGAATGCTACATGACAGGATTTTATTCATCCCTCTTCTCCATAAATGAGTGGCTTTCTGTCCCTGAATGATTACACAGTCTCAGTGGTCCTAATTAAGCATGCAAATGCCTTGGCTTCATATAAACTCAGTTACATTATAACACTGTGGAACGTAGGGGTGGGCAGTGTGACTGGTAATTCCTAATTTGGAGTGAAATTTGATATCCATTAGCCTGTGAATAAATGTGACATGTAATAAGGATTCTGAATTATTCCTTCTTGATTTTCACCATCAAATTCAGTGTCCTGCGTCAGTCCTGTGACGGTCTCCAGAACAGAGAAGATATGTCTTCCTGTTTGCTCCCAACCCTGCACTCTGAATAGTGTTCACGTGGGTCTGGTTCCAGATTTAGTCATGTTGGTCTTCATTTTCTCAGCACAGGTGCAGCAGTGAACAGCAGTGAGAGTCTCCCTCCATCCTCGTCTGTCAACGACATCTCCTCCATGTCCACCGACCAGACCCTTGCATCCGACACTGACAGCAGCCTGGAAGCCTCGGCCGGACCCCTGGGTTGTTGCAGGTGACTAGCCGCCTGCCTGCGAAACCCAGCGTTCTTCAGGAGATGACATGATAGAACACAGCACACATGCACATTGCACACACACACACACACACACAGACACACACACACACAGTTTGCACACACATATGCATACACAAAGACACTCTCACACATGCACAAAAACATATACGCGATGTCAAGAAAATAGCAAGAGAGAGATCCAACCTAAAATTAAGATAAATCTTTCTGCCTGCTTCTCCAAAGTTCTGTATTACAGCTAAGCTGAAATGTATACTTCTAGTTGCTCTTGCTTTGGTCTCCTTCAACAGTGCTTACTACACAAAATGAATCAGACACAATTAGAGAAGCCTTTTCCCCAAAGTGTAATTTAAATGGCTGCGAAACCAGCAACCCGTTAGTGCCCTTCAAATGGCATGACAAGGTGTGCAGTGGCCCCATCCAGCATGTGTGTGTCTCTATCTTGCATCTACCTGCTCCTCTTGGCCTAGTCAGATGGATGTAGATACAGATCCGCATGTGTCTGTATTCACACAGCACTACTTAGAGATGCTCCTGTCAGTGTCCTCAGGGCTCTACCAAGACACCATGCACTGGGGTACCACATGGTCCATTTCATGTGATCTATTACTCTGACATAAATCCATCTGTAATATATTGCCAGTATATAAGCTGTTTAGTTTGTTAATTGATTAAGCTGTATGTCTGATAAGAAAATATGTAAAGGGGGAATATGGGGGAGTGAACTCTCAGACCCTTGAAGATGTAGCTTCCAAATTTGAACCGATTAAATGGCACCTGTATACCAATTTGTAGAAAGAACATATGTGATGATTACGTACAGTGTGGGGGGAGGGGGGAGCAATAGCTTTCAGGATTTAAATAGCTTGGTCTTTAGAAGGACTATGTGAGTCAAAGTCAAGGGTGCTTTCTCTGGCAATGGATATGTAGCAGGGACTAGAGCACAGTGTAGACTGTGCTTTGTTTTGCTGCAGTATAGACTATGGACGAAAGGTAATTGCTGTCTGGATATTGGGAGACACCAACATCCATGTTTTAAAGATTGGACACCATTTGTCTTTTTTAAATGTGTCAAAATATGTCTTTTTAATGATGTGTCAAAAGAGAAACTGCTGGAGAAAGGGGAAGGTGACGAGGCAGCACCGTTGTCCACACATCCATGGTAAAAGCCCTTGCCTGAAACACGCTGGAATCACCTCCATGTGATCTCCTTCAGAGAAGATCGCTCTGCCTAGACCAATTTGAGATTGTAGGGTATGTTTTCCACGTGTGGGATGCTTCCCAGAGTCATCACCTGCCAATATTTTCATTTCCTCTTCTGGAATAGAATAGAATAAAATGGAATCCCCAAAGCACAGAGAGATCTTCAGGACAGCATCTATAAGCATCTTCATGGATATTATTGTCCCTCAGAGGAGTTGTCCCTCAGGGGGCTTTCCCTGACTCCTTGATACGACTGATGTTTCATACTTACTGATTTATTTTCATAGATGTGTGTAACCTGAGAAGGGCTGATAGTCTGACTTTTGTATTGCAGTAGATATATGAGAGCAATAACGCCGTGCCAACACAGCTCCTACTAGCTAGCATTAGCAATGACTTTGTCTTAAAGCTATGAAACGTTAGTGTGTTTAGAAAAATCATCTGAATTTAGCTTAAATCCACGGAAGATCCTGTCCGAGCACTCACGGAGGCACTGTGAACATCTTGGTTATGTACAAGGCAATGCTGGTGCGGCTTCTGAGCAATAACAGGCACCAGGCCCCGCTTCCCTTCTTCCTTCCGTGGGTGAAGCATCCACCACAGCTATTTGCACTCTGGCCATTTTGGTGCTTACCCCTGTGGTGATATTTCACCTGAAGAAGAAGTGAAACACATGAGTAGATGAACGTGATCGGCCTTGTCAAAGGAAAACCCTCAAGTGTACAGAGAAAACAGCAATGCCAGAGTTCTGCAAACTGCCTTAAAAACAACACCAGGGAAGCTCTTCTCCTTTCAAGCAATAGAGTCCTTAGTAACCTCAGCTGCCCAACCCTCCCTCCCCCACACACACTGCAGTGAGGCTGCTCCTGGGATCGCTTCCCACTGTGTGGTTCTTTGCAAGCTGTGGTACTGAAAAGGGAGAGGAGGGGGATGGTGGAGGGAGGGAGATCTCCTCTATCCTTCTCCTATCTTGATCTTCTCCTATCTTGAGATCTCCTCTGCAGCTCATCCCCTGGAATAAAGGTATCTCAGTCTATCCTTTTCCCATTCTTTTTGGTTAGTACTGCAAGCAAACCGATAAACTGATCTTTATAAATGCTGACTCATTCTCACAAGTTCTCTCGTTTCCCTTTCTGTCATCTTTTTTTTTTCCTTTTTAAAACTTACGCATCGCCCTACTCTTCTCCTCTTTCTCTGTCCTTTGCTTTTGTGTCTGTGATCTCTGTACCCCTCCACTCTGTATCAGACCAGATTAATGCAAAGAACAGACAATGGCTCAATGGCTTGAAAAAAGCAAGTGTTGAAGGGGATTCCGTTAGGCACAAGATGACAATAACAGACAGGCAGGGTTCTCAGCAGAACGGGAGAGCTGACCGGTTTCCCAGGTAGAGGAAGCAGACAACACAGATCACCTTCCCGCCCCTGCAGGTTGACCTGGGTGCTGCTAGTCTGTCTCCTGGTGTATAGCATTGCCCTGCTGGGGACCCTTGGCCAGAGATTCCCCTGTGGACAAGAAAATAGGAAAGAAAACCCTTGGGTTTTAAATAGCACATCCACGTAGAGATGAGGGCTTGGCTTCTGGACTTCATGAAGGATTGGTTTTAGCTGATCAAAGAGGATAGATGGGAGGTGTAACAACAAAGAGAATCACCACAGTGAAAGTTTCCCCTTCACAGTCAGGACCCCCTGGTAGTCTCTCCTTTGGTGGTGGTTATACTCTGAGAAAGTTTGCAGTATACAATGTGCCCTCTTCTGGGTCTTCTTAGTAAAAACAAACAAACAAACAAGTAAACAAAAAACCAAATATTTATTTTATGTGGCCACCTGTTACTACCAAGGGTGTTCTTACTTTGGGAGCAGGGAACTGTTCTGAGACCTGGACTGTATTTGTGGAAGAATTGAAGGAGCTACATGTGTTCATATTGCAGCAGAAAGTTAGCATTCTTAGGACTAGAACATCTGTACTTTTATAGGCAACTGGTGACGCAGTGGTCCTTACTATGTTCCGTGGTGTTCTGTAGAAAGGACGGGTGTGGACCCCTGAACAGGAAGAATTAAATTGCTACCATGTTACCTATTTCTTTGCTACTTTAGGGCATGTTTGGTGGGTCAGTGTACTCATTTTTCCAATGGGATACATTGGCCTTATAGCACAATTTTTTCTTGTTCAATAAAGATTGAAAATAGTACGTCATCCTTCAAAATCTAACTTAGAGCTTCATGGGTCTGGGTCCCACAGCTGGACCAGGACTTGGCCAAGTCCTAGCAGTTGGAGGAAACTTATTTAATCGATGGCTCAGGGGTAGTGTGGCTTCTCTCAATCCACTATCCCTGTTAGAACAAGTGTTGTGTAAAGATACTGCTAACAAAAGACCAGCAAATGAGAAACTTGGTCATGGAACACAGAACAAATGGAAGGCATGAAAATGCATAAGTCCTTTTGTGATCTGTCAGGGAAAAATTAATAAATCTAATTTACAGCTCTTAAACGTTCGTTGTAGAGCTCCGGTTATACAGGATCCATTTCTGTTTCATTTTCGTAGCAAGAAAGAATCTATGTCTCAGAGGCATCAACTGGCTTTGCTGGAAGAGATAGCCTCCGTGGCTCAGAGAGAGGAGAGAAGACTTCTTGGGGAACTTTGATCCTAGCTTTGTTGGGTCTAAAGAGAAATCCCTCCCACCACTGCAGCACGCCTGCCCTCATAGACACGTACACATTTTAATACCAAGAGGCCAACTTTTCTACACGTATTGTTAGATAAGGCAGTCTATTTGAAAAGAAAACAAAACAACTAAACAAACTAAAAATTTATAATGTAAATAACCAAATCAGTTATTTTCCTTGTAATTAAAATATAAATTTTATTTCTTTGGTCACCCAAACATGTCTTGTTAGTTCACTTTGACTCATTTCTTTGGTCAAAGCAAAGTTGAAGACTTTTTTTTATATGTGAACCCCTATTTATTTAATTCTTGATCGTGGGACCAATGGCCAGTATATCCCAGTAGAAACAAATATCCCAGCCCTTATCTGCCATCACTTGTCCATCTTGCCATGTCTGACACCTCCCCGGCATCTGCTTGTTATTCTGCATGACTGGACTCCAAAATCCATAACTGATGAAGAGAATTGTCCTATATCAGTGTTTATGAAGTGTATCTACAGCACACATGTACACACACATGTTCACATATGCCCATATACATGTTCACATATGCCCATATAGTTCTCTATCAACCTGGAAGCCAAAATCACGTATGTCCAATTTCTTTGCAAAGTCTCAGAGGTAAGACCTGTTGTCAGTAGCCTGGTAGGTTTGATGGTATCTAATATGGATCAAAATAATTGAGTCCATTCCTGTGTTCTTTCATTTCCATTTTTTCCCTCTTATTTTAAATATGTCTGTGGAAAAGAGCACAATTTGGGGAACTCTGACATCTTTTGACTCTTCACAGGTGAAATCAAGTCAACATTTTGTGATTTGTATGTCTTATGAATTATTAAACCTGGAGGAAGTATGCTTCACTTCTCATAAAACCAAATGAAACCTGGACTCTGTCAGACTTTCCTTTTGGCAATGTTTATTGTTTGTGCTGCTTTGGTTTCATGTACTGCCGGAGCCATAAAGGGCTTCCATGACTTCCTTCTGACCCCGGTGAACAAAACTTGCAGTGTGGTCAGATTGTACCAGAGGGTAAATAAGAGGGAAGAGATGGCCTCCTTCTCAGCCTAGACCCGGGTCTCTCTGTAGAGTGGTGTCTGTGCTTAAGATTCATTTCTTCAAGAAAGGCCTCTGTTTCCATCTGCAGATACGAGTTTCATGCCTACATTTCAGTAGTAACCAATAAGATAATAATGGACAAACCTCACTGGTAAGAAGATCAGGACTACATTTTTTTTCAACAAAATTTATCAACAAAATTCCCAATTTTAATTTTGTCTGAGAAATTTCTTTTGTCTACACTATTATCTCAGACTGCTTGTTGAATTTAAGGATATGAATTACAGCTTGATGGAGTTCACTGAACTTGTCATGGTTCACCTGGCGGTGTCTGAACAATGTTGAGGTGTGGCCTGCATATTTCTGGGAACAATACATTTTATTTATTCAGTTAATAGAAGGCTTGAAAGGTAGACATTCCTATTATTACACTTTGTCTTTCATTTAAGGAAAATGGATGTGAAACGCTGTTTGCTACCTCTGCAATGATCCTTATTCTAATGATTTTCTAATTATTTTAATTTATTCTTTTTCCTTCATTTATTTGAGGGGGAGATACATGGAGGTCTCTTACTAAGTAGGCCAGATGGTCCTGGTACTCTCAATCCCCCTGCCTCAGATTCCAAGCTTGTACAAGAATGCCTGGCTGCCTATCCTGACTTCAACCACAACTTTTTACTTTCCCTTTTTAAAAAAATTTAAAATGACCAAGCATAAATATTTAAAATACCCATGAGAGTAAAAAGAACAAATTCATTCTTCATGATGGTTGGCCAAAGAGGGCAAATCATTCGTACATTGTAGGCACCATAAAACATTACCATATATGTGCTCATTTTGATAAAGTTTGCTATGAGGCAAGATAAAGGGTGTTGAGCATTATTTTCTTGAAAGGACTAGTGGAAACCCCAACCTAGAAGGGTGAATCTACTTGCTCAATGATAGAAGTGATTGTGAAGAAAGTAAAGGATTTTTACCCTACCAACTAACTCAGCAGTCCTTGTTGTGTTTTACACATGTAGCATACGCTCCGCAGTCTCCCACCTCCCCAACACACAACACTTTGAAAGGCAATGCCCGGAAGACCTGTGCAAATAGTGTACACAGGGTGTCCCATTGTCTCAGGTCTGCTCACACCTGGCACCTCTGAATGTCATGAGCATTTCCCTTTCAGTTCCAGATCGAGTTTCATAGCATCTAAAGTCACTGAAATGTACTACAAAAATGTACACTTCTCAAACACATGAAAGATAGGTGTAAAGAAACAAACTAACTAACAACAATCAAACAACCCTGCAAAGCCCACCCCCTTCTGTCAAATATTTCCTTTAAAAAAGGGATGCTTTTGGTGTGTAAAATTCACTCCACCTTGCTTAAAGTCTTTCTGTTCAAACAATAGTCCATATTGTTTGCCTCTCAATGGTATGTGTTCAGTGTTTTTATCTTACACACCCTCTGTAGTCTGCTTAGAAGACTGGGTCATACATTATGTGCTTTCTACTAAAAACATCAAAGTCCATATTCATGGAAGTATCGTCTACAAACAATTATACAGAAAATAAAATTTTACAATGCAAATAGCATTTCACACAGTTGAAGGAACTAATGATTTTAAACAATTCCTTTATAAAAGGAAGACACTCGGGAGCAGTTGCAAGCTCCTTAGTGGATTGGTGACTGGGATTGGCATAAATTAATCTCTAAGAAGGTTACTTTGAATTTCTAGTTTAATTTCTGAGCTACATTCTAAAGTATTTAATCAGTCCATGCCAAACACATTTATTAAATGGTTCGGGGTAGAAGACAAATGTATTGCGATTCTTATCCTAAAAAATGCAGCCAATAAATCAATGTCTAAAAATAAATGGTCAATGCAAAATATCTTACTCATTTATCCTCTTTTGAAACAACAATGTGTTTAAATTAGAGGTGCATCCTAAATGAACCCATTTTTATTATCGGCATAAAGAAGAAATCTTCTTTCAGTGTTCTCATTTTGTCTAATTGTATTTCAAGTATACTTAATGAACCAGCATAAGAGAATTGTGGGTATTTTCTATTGTATTATGGGGATGGATAATTTTTCAATTCATAAAGGAAGCCAGCATGGGTATTCTTTTCTCTGCATTATGGATTGTTTTGATATTTGTTCCCGTGGAACTCTTGGGCTTTTTGATGCTGAGCTCGAAGCTCAGCTCTGGCATCGCTGAGTCCGAAGTCACAGCAGGACTGGAGCTACTCTTCAGTCACACTCCAGTCTGAAGCCAAATCCTGTGTAAGTTGCTCAGTCTAAGTTGCAGAAGTCCTAAAATAACTTAAGATACAATCCAATTATTTATTTTGTATTAAAGATTGAACTCAGAGCATTCCTGAATATCTCTGCTGGAAAAGTTAACATCGGCCATAAACATACATTTATCAGTTTATGCCACAAATATTTATTAAACACGCCAAAATTTCTAAAGATTGTCATAGGTGCACATCAGTGTGATGAGTTCATGCACCCAATGCCTTCATGAAGTCTACGCTTCAGCGTGCGTGGGAGGTGGGATGAGGTAAGATAGGTCTACATTCTGGAAGTACAAGGCAGGTTGAAAGGTAAGGCCTGAAAAGAGATGCCATGAGCGATAAGGTGCCCAGGGAATGCCTCCCGGAGGAGGTGACACTTGGCCAGAGACCTGAATAAAGTTAGGGAATAAGACACATCACCAGTGGATGAGGAACATTCATGCTGAGGGGAACACAATGGCAGAGGCCTGGAAAAAGTTGGCTTTTATACCACAAAAAAGAACACTCAAGAATCCTGAGGATTAAACAGGACAGGTAAGAAACATAATGACCATTGAAACTGGAGCAGAAGCCAGGAGCCTGAGCAGAGGGATATATTGGAAATTTATTCTAAATATGGGGAAACAAGGATTAGGGTTGAACAAGGGTGTTATGCCATCTACACACACACACACACACACACACACACACACACACACACACACACACACACACAAAATTCTTCTGGTCTTGAGAGAATTCTTGAGAAGAAAGACAATGGAAACAATCTAGGCATCCCAGGCTGTGGTAAACATCCAGAGAGAAATGCTGAGGTTTGGATCAAGGAGAAGAATATCCAAGAAGAATTTGGTCAGGATATAATTAGGAAGGTTCTGTGAACGGGGGCCAGTGATGCACACTTACAATTTCACTGACTTGGGAGACAGGGCCAGGGGGATTAGAAGTTTAAGATAAGGCTAGGTAAGTCACTTAAGATCTTGTCTGTCTCCCGTTAAAAGGTAAAATGAGGCATGCCTTAGCATGGATAAACCGAAAGGAGATGTTGTGAAAGAAGAACTGACATCGTCTGATGGACTGATATGATGTAAATGGTGATTAGGGATGACTCAGAATTTTCCCTTTTGCATAAGCTGTAATGGATGATTGGTATGGATGACTGACATAGTGAACGAAATGGGAATCTGAGAGAGAGCAGCCTGTGGGTTGCTACAGGCCACAGGAATGTATTTTAAGAACTCAGCTGGTTATGGCAAAGCTACTACCTGAAGGAATCAAGGAGTTCCTTCAGAGGAAGTCAATTCCAAGGAGTTTTTGGTGTTATGTGACTTGTTATATATCAGCTGTCTTCTGTTATGAAAATCATGTGTGCCTTCATAGTTTTCCCAATTGATTTTTTCCTAAGAAGTGCTAACAGTGTGGACTGATCACTCTCTGGACATATACATTCATGGTATTTGGAGAACAGCCCCAGGAAAGGCTTCCTTCCCCCCAGCCCATCCGCTTCTCCCCTTTCAGCACTGGAATCAGATATCTCCCTTAGCCACTTTCAAGGACTAACAGAAATAACAGTCCAGACCACCACATGCTAGTCTCCTGATTTAAGGTAAATTCCACAAGGAGACACCGCCTAGGTAAGGTGAACCTTAAGTAATAGCTTCACACAATTTAGCTCGGACCCTTCTTTCTTACAGCCTTACTAACTTTATAGATCTCTAACTCCTTACCTAACCACTCCTAGGAATATTTAGATAACCTTCTGTACTGACAGCTATGCACAGCCAGAACCTCAGTTCAAGCCTCCCTGTAATTATCATCATTGGTAGCATCCGGCCAGCTTCATCCCCAGACAGAGGAAAGTACCTTATCAGAGATTAACAGACTTAAGCGTCCAGACTACCCATTTGAGAAGGCCTGGCAGATGTGCCAATTAAGCTTAACTACCTCCTTTCCCAAATCTTACCTCTGGTTCTAGATCTCCCTTTATCGCCAGAGGCATCTAGCTGTACACTGATTACCTAGCAACAGAGCACACTTTCCCCCACCCTGCAGAAAAACGTCAGATAGCTTAGACAGATAGGAGCCATAGGAAAAAAGAAGGCAGTTTTATTTTCTCCCATTGACCTAGCCACTTATAGATTCTTAACATTTTCTACCAATTACATTTAAGATTATAGTTGAGCACATAAGATCCCTCTTCTTAGCTATTACCTGAATTTAGCCTTTAGTTAATTCATTTCCCCATTAGTCACTTCCCTTTGGGGTTGCAAATGATAATTAACAATTACTGCCCCTCTTTGTGATTCTTATCACCCCTCTGTTTGACCCTGGAAGCCTGGCTTTGCACTGCCAAGGGATTACTGCTTGTAAGTGTATATATACCAGGACTCCCAGGGTATGGGGGGGGGGCAAAGAAGAAGATTTGGAAGAATAAATGACTGGACTAAGAGCTCTGTGTGCTTAGATTCTATTTCCCGAAAATAGTCCTCATTGTTCACAGTTCTCTCACCTGAGTCCCCGGGATGTATAATATTAAGGCTGGTCCC